GTCATAGCTGAGTGGTATTCCATTGTGTAAATATACCACAGTTTCTTTAACTACACAACTGTTGTTGGGCATTTGGGTTGTTTCCATACCTGACTATTGTAAAATATCAGTGCTGAATACAGTTGTGTATATGTTATTTTGGATTCAAGTTTTTGTGTTCTTGGATTAGATACCCTAAAGTAGAATTGGAGTCAATTTGAAACCCTATTCTAAATTTAAAAAATTTTGTTTTGGGATCACATTCAGCAGTTCTCAAGGCTTACTCATGGCTCTGTGCTCAGGGATTACTCCTGGTGGTGCTTGGGGACCAAAGCCAGTTCTGCCATATACAATGTAAGACCTACTCATTGTATTATCACTCCAGCTATTCTATTCTAATTTTTTTTAAAGAAGTTTCCAAACTTTTTCCAAAGAGACTGAACCAGGCAATAATTCAAGCTTTGTGAATGAGATTTCCTTTCATGCTACATCCCTGATAATACTTATTATTCTTTTTCATATAAGCTATTCTCACTGGTATGACATGGTAACTCATTGTCATTTTAGTTTTTATTTCACAATGATCAATGACAATGAACATTTTTCCATATGACATCTTTAATAAACTGTTATTTTCTCTTGATATTTTTCTGTATTCTATGATGCTGAAAGTGGTTTTTATAATAATAGTGTAATTATTATTTGCTTGTTTTATCTAAAATATACCAATAGTGTTTTCAAGATAATAATAATTATTTGCTGTTAGTAAGACTACTTCTATACTTTTCCTTTAATGTTTTTACCACAAAAGATATCACATAGAACACAAAAGCATTTTTATTTTTGTCATTTAATATATTTTGATGATTACTGCATATCATTATATAAAAAACTCTTTACTTTAAAATACTACTCCATTATATTGACTCATATCGGTCATCTCTAATATTTCTTATTATACCTTCACCCGAGTTTGATTCCTCTATCTCTCTTGGAGAGCCCGGCAAGCAACCGAGAGTAACGGCAAAGTCTGGCAAGCTACCCGTGACGTATTCAATATGCCAAACACAGTAACAACAATTCTCACAATGGAGATATTTCTGGGCCTGCTCAAACAAATCGATGAACAATGGGAGGACAGTGACAGTGACCTTCACATATTCTTGATGTTATTATGCTTGAATGATTGTGATAATCTATGTAATCAAATAGTCACAACTGGCCCATACCTCTTAATAATCTGATTAATAAGACAGATGCAAAGTTTGGGGGAAAATGTCATCTCTCAGCTGTACAAAGTTATTTAAATGGACACCAACTGAGAAAGGAAAAAGAACTCCAAAAATGGAGGGTGGGAAAAACTAGGCTGAAATGATCAATAATCTGTAATTTCATTGCTAATTGAAGCATGCCTACCACTTGTCTACCACAGATCCCCTGGAAGGAAAAACTTACAAGATAATACTTAAATTGGTCTGTGTGTGTGTGTGTGTGTGGTGTTGTGTGTGTTTTGTATGTGCTGGTTGTGGTGGGGTCATGTCCAATCCTAAGAAAGTAAGTGCAGGTAAAGAGAAAGGGCAGAGAAATGGGTAGAGTAAATAAATGAGAGGTGGTTCTGAGCTGACCTTCCTCCTTCCACTAAGGATACTGTTTCACAATGGGAATTCATTGATTGCATCACTAGCCCATAAGAGAAAGTTGCTGGATAAATAAGAACTTCAGATGGTCTGTTCTGACTGAGTCTCTCCTTGGCAGTCAACTTCATTTTGGGGCTCTTTGGTCTAGAAAGTAGTAGAAGCAGTAACTTTGCTCCAGGACCACAGGAGTTGAAGTTGGACCAGGCTGCAGAGGCGGGTCTGCCCACATAGCCTTGAGTGGCATATGAATTGATTGGGTCTCATTCACTATTCAAAATGCCCTCATTCCAGTCTCTATTCTTACTCAGAAATCTTAAGTAACAAAAATGGTCTCAGACACAGAGCTAAAAATAATCTTTAGTAGCATCTAATATTTTTCCTTGACTTTAAGCAAGACCACAATTTCTTTTTTAAATTTTGAAGGGTATTTTATAGTTTCCCTCCCTAACCCATTCTAGTATCTATTTTTGTTTGTTTGGGGGCCACACCAGGTTCTCTGCAGGGTTACTCCTTGCTCTGCATTCAGGGATCATTCCCAGAGGAGCTAGGGGGACTATTTGTGGTGTCTGTTATGTGCAAGTCAAGTGTCTTACCCAATGTACTATCTCTCCAGCCTTAATTCTAGTATGTAAACATAATATTCTAACCATTAACAAAAAGCTAGTTATTCTATTTTAACATACTTATTACTTGAATAATATTCTGAGTTAACAAAACCATCATTTAGGGGGTCAGACCAATAGTATTGCAGGTAGGTGTTAGCCTTGCGTTGGCTGCGTGCTAGCACAGCGGTAGGGCGTTTGCCTTGCAAGCAGCCAACATGGCCGACCCGAGTTCGATTCCTCCGCCCCTCTCAGAGAGCCCGGAAGAGTATCTCGCGCACATGGCAGAGCCTGGCAAGCTACCGGTGACGTTTCAATATGCCAAACACAGTAACAACAAGTCTCACGATGGAGACGTTACTGGGCCCGCTCGAGCAAATCGATGAACAACGGGAGGACCGTGACCGTTAGCCTTGCATGCGGCCAACCCAGGTTTCATCCCTGGAATCCCACAGGGTTCTTGAAGTACTTCCAGGATTCCTGAGTGCAGATCCAGGAGTAACACCTGGGCATCACTGAATATGGTCTCAAACAAACAAACAAACAAATAGACACACACACAACAGGAAAAAACCATAATTTAAATTTTCCAAAACTTTTGATAAATAGAAGGTGATAAATAAAAGCTTGCAACTGTGGTTTGGGATAAAACTTTTTAGTATTGCAATTCACAATCTTCTTTTCAGGAGAAATCAGTTTTTGATAAAACGTATTATACTCAAATTATGATAAACTCCAATGGTATCAAGAAATGTTTTGAGAAAGTAGACTTTCTTTTATTCTGATGATTGTTATTTAAAAGTTTAATAGCTTTAAACCAAATATTCTTTGCTTGTCTTTTTGTTTTTGTCTTTGGGCTGTATCCAGAGATACTTCCTAGCTATACTCTAGAGACTATATAGGTAAGGGATTAAACCCTGAGAGCCGTCATACAATGCGTGTACCCGGGTCCTTTGAACTATCTCCCTATCCCTAATCAGATATTATTTATTACTTTATTTATACTGGCTGGGAATCAACTCTAAGATTCAATCATATGAGGCAGGTACTCTATTGCTGAGCTATGTCCATGGCCCTAAATATTGTATTTTTAAAAATTATTTTCAATTTTTTTTTCTTTTTTGGGTCACACCCGGCAATGCACAGGGATTACTCCTGGCTCTGCACTCAGGAGTTACTCCTGGTGGTGCTCAGGGGACCATACGGGATGCTGGGAATTGAACCCGGGTCAGCCGCGTGCAAGACAAATACCCTACCCGCTGTGCTATCTCTCCAGTCCCAACTATTTTTAATTTTTATTTATACTTGTGTATTTTTGGGTTTAGAGGCCACACCCAGTAGTTCTCTGGCTACTTCCGGTTTAGCACTCAAGCAGGGGTCACTCCAGTGGTGCTTGATCAACCATGCAGAGTGGGGAACAAGCCCTAGATATTCTGCAAACAAAGCGAGCACTCCAGTCGGTTGCACTATATCCCCAACCCAAGTATTCTTTTTTCATATTGTATAACTAGAACTTACTTTTTTTTTTTTAACTAAGTAACTGATTTGTATGATTCTCTGAATTTGGTTTGTTTTAGTCCTTTTGTGGCAATTTAAAAACGAAGCCTCAATACATGAGGCCAAGAAGACCGGAGAGATAGTGTGCACTTACCCCACACATGGATGGCTCCTTTTTGATCCCTGGCACTGCATACAGTTCCCTGAGCACCAAGAGAAGTGATCCCTGAGCACAGAACCAGGAATAAGAGCACTGCCTGGTGTGCCCCTTCCCCCCAACAGTCTCAATACATGCTCATATCAAATTATCTAGATGTTATTTTTAAACCATTCGAAGATTCTTATATCAATATTCATAAATATTATGTGATAATATGTGATTCTCTATGTATATGGTGTATGTATGCTACATTCTTTTTTACTCCGGTTAGTAGATCATTGTGACAATAACCTTAGGAGTCTGGCTGAGAAAAAAAACATTCTGATCAAAGGCTGCAAACTAGCTCAAGCTAGTTCCTTGACAAGCCATGCTATTAATATAGTAAACACTAATTACATTTATAAGGAAGGAAGGGGAAGGAGGAGGAAAGAGAGAGGGAGAAGAGATCTTTGCAAAAACTTTTCTCTCTACCACTGAATATCATTGTTATCTATAATAGTAAGAACAACACAGGTGCTCACTAAATAGTTTTGAATCAATGAATCTGGAACTGTCTGATACACACAATTGCTTGAAGGCAAAGAGATGAGCGGATAACTTCAGCACTCTTCCTGTCTTATGATTCTGTGGTTTCTCTGACTACTGAAAGTTGGCTTGGTCACAAATTTAAAGTCTGAACTTTTAGATGGAAGGCAGGGAGAAAATACTTCATGTATCTACATTAACACCAGGGACAAGCAATGAAAATGCAAGCACTGTTTACAAACCGCACTAACCCGTGGTTAGAATAAGAACATAAACTATCAGCTTTTATTCTAAACAATATCCCTTGTGCCATCTTTCAGTTGTGCATTTATGAATGCTAGCAGCTTTCTTTCCTACATAGAGAATCTGTTTCCTTTTGTTGTTGTTGTAGGCGCTGTACTGTGCGGACTCAAAGTCCCTCCCAGTGGTGCTCAGGGGACCGTGAGGTGCCAGGGATCAAACCCTGGTCTCCCGCATGCGTGTGCTCCAGCCCACTGAGCAATCGCGCTCCTGCCCCTGACGTTTAGTTTCTTAGGAGAAAAAACTGCTGAAGTCATGAGGCTCCTCCAGGCAGAACCCTCGTGTGAGTCAGATGCAAGCTTGAGCGCTGCTGACCTCTGGCAAAAAGGGAGTGACAGAGAACTGGAGAGGCAGAAGGGGGAGAAGTTCAAGTGCAGGTTTTCTCCTTGAACCTAGAAGATAATGGGTCAAGAGCTGTGCGCCAAAACTCTGCAGCCCGGCTGCCGCTGCCATCGCTGCGGGGAGGGAGGCGATGCGCCCCGCTGCCCGAGGAGCGCGCCGGGGACCACCACCGAGGCTGCCATCCAGGTATTTGCATCCCAGAGGAGCGTCTTCCTCTCCATAAGCCAAGTTGCTCAGAGACTCCTTTGCCAAAGCGGGGGCTGATCCTTCTGCGGTAGGTCTAAACCAATAAAAAGGAAGTTCTATTAAAGTCAAGGAGATTTATGGCTGCTGTTATCAAATGTGAGGATTTTTCTTGTAAACCAAAAGGGAGACAGGATCCTGGGCTTGGGCTGCTGGAAACTCACTTGTAGTTGAGAAAGTCCTTATTTTCTTGAAATCTCTGAAGGGCTAACCAAAGGACAGAGCTGAATCTCGGAAAAAGCAGGCTGCAGTATTGGTATGCTAAGGCTTCAAAATGTTCATAATTTTCTCCTAGTGATTAGCATTGCAGTACCAGGACTAGTAGGATGATATTTCCCTAAAGTGAACATTTAAGGGACATGGGGAAAAAAATAAAAGCCCGTTGTAAGCTGAGAAAATTTGGAAATTATCCAACAAAGAGATTTAAGGACAAATGACATTTTTAGGGGGAAGAAAGAGGGTGGTGTTTCAGCAGAGGATAACACTTTTTTTTTGAGAGCTGACTTAAAGGAATTGGCTGGGGGAGTGGGTTGTTTCAGGGAGAATGAAAATTAGGCAAATAAAGAAAAAAAGTCTATGTTGATTTCTGAGTCTTGACTTTGCATACATTTTACTTCTGTGCTTTCTTTTTTCTTAGTTAACAGACCTAAAAGAAGCATCATGTTCCATGACTTCATTTCACCCCAGGGGACCTCAGGCTGTCCATTCCCGGAAGTTCAAGAGCAAAAGGCCTCGAAGTAACAGTGATTCTTTTCAGGAAGAGGATCTGAGGCTGAGTGTTCAGTGGGTGAGTAGCAGCTGATGTTGATCAAGAAGAATGTGATGTGTTTTGGTGCAGGAAGGCTGATCCTTACTTCTAAGGCAGTTTCTGAGACACTTTCCTAAGTGCATGCAGTGGTGTAGTCTTAATTTCTCTAGAGAGGGAATAGTCAACTCTGAACAATAAGTGCATTTTCTTTCTTTCCCATCTCTCATTCTTCCCCATTGCCCTGCAGCAGAGGAAGAACCTCCCTTTTGGGGCAGCCTCATCATACTTGAACTTGGAGAAGCTGGGTGAAGGTTCTTATGCTACAGTTTACAAGGGGATCAGCAGGTGAGTGACTCAGCTGGGAGAGACACTGGAGATGGAAATGAAGTTACTCCTCATTCCCCTCACCCTCTCCAAACCCTCCCCCAACTCTCCACTGATCTTTCGTTTCTTTTTAAAATTTGTCCTCGGGCCACACCCTGCCACCCTGCTGCAGTGCTCAGTTTACTTTTGGTCTGTTCTTTGGGGGGGGGGCAAATGAGGGGAACCTCCACTCCACCCCCACCCCTTTGCCTAAGGAATAGCCCAGGAGTAGACCCCAGACAGGGTTCAAACACGGGCTCCTGAATGCAAAGCAAGTGTTTAGCCCCATTGAGCCCTGGCCCTCCACTTACCATTTAAAGCTAGGTGATAGAGGAAAAATTCAGTTTTCAGGGCTTGTACAATACCAGCACAGCAGGGAGAGCTAGACATGAGGATTTAAACAACTTGGGAAGGAAACCAAACTTCCCATGGCCAAGTTTAATTGCCCATTAAAATGTCATCAGATTTTCTTCTCTTAGTTCAAAGAAAGTTAACTTTCTCTACCACTGACTTAAAGAACATTGACTATTCTTCAGTCTGATGGAAAGTGCACTTGAGGTATATAAAGGTATCTGAAGGATTCTAATACCCCTTCCTGAATTGCACCCACTGAGGTTTGTGATGGCAACCTTGAGTTTGCGCCTTTTTTCTTTCACTTTGGTTTCAGAGATTCCTGGTGTCACATGGTTCTCTGAGCACTCCCCCCCCCAAGCACTAAACTACAAGCAGTACCTGAGCATTGCTGAGTGTGGCCAAAAAAGGCCAAAACAAAAAAAAGAATAAAATTAAAAATAAAATACAGAAACACACAAAATTTGTTTTTGATAAATTCAACATAAATCAGTAGTTTTTAACACTGTGTTTCTATTTCTAAAATATAGCTATTGAGTGATAATTCCTATCACATACTTGTTTTGGTTAAATATTAGAGCCAGTACCCTTAATTAGATACTATTGATAGTCAATTACCCTTCATTGTTAAAGATTATAATAAACTTCCTAGCCAATTCAATGGAAAATATATGACTAAATATCAATTTTATGGATTAGAGAACTGTGTACCAAAGAAACAAAACAAAACAAAACAAAAGAACCAAGAGAATCATCTAAGAGAACTTCAGGAATAACAAAAGTAGTTAAAAAATTAAAATACACCCATCAAAATTTGTCTTGTGCATTAACAATAACCATTTAGAAAGTATAATAGAGGAAATTATCTGAACAATTTTATTCAACAAAATTATCATTAACGTTAAATATTAGTTTATATATTGGGGCTGGAGCAATAGTAATGTGGGTAGGGCACTTTCTTTGCATGTGGCCAATCCAGGTTCAATCCTTGGCACCACATATAGTTTCCTGAATCCACCAGAAATGATCTCTGAGCATAGAGCCCAGAATAATTCCTGACCATCACAGGGTCTGGCTCCCCTTACAAAAAGGGGGCTTATATAAAAAGTCACCAATGAATGTAGAAGCTTGAATAGAGTCAGACAGTCACTGTATTAATATTTGTTAAGCGCCTATTAGGACTAGGAACTATTTTAGACATAACAATTTATTGGGAAAGGAAAGAGAGAAAAATCCCAGCTGTTATGGAAATTACAGTGTAGTAAAAGAAACATAGAAAATAAGCAAATGAGTAAAAGACTGTCAAAGAATGAAGAGACTTTGGAAAATGATAAAAAGAAAAAACCTTGCGTGAAGAACAGGAAGTATCAGAAAGGAGAGGTGGATTGCTATTTGAAGTTGAGTCATGATTGCCAAAAAAAAAAATAGCCCCTTAATACCACCAGGCCAAACACAAACAAAAAATTTAATAAAGTAAATGAAAATAAGATATTGATTAGAGGAAGTTTCACTGAAAAGAGGATATTTGAACAGACTGTGACACAGAAGAGGAGTGAACAGTGTGCATGTGGAAGAGTTCAGGCAGTGGGAAAAGGAAGTCACAAATCCCTGACACAAGAGCAAGCCTGAACTTATAGGGGAATAGTGGACGTGGACGGAGGTGATGCCAGGAGGATTTGCACATGAGGAGATTGTAGATCACGTGAGGGATCCGTTTAAGTATAGGGTATTTGAAAAATCTGAAAGTGTCAAGATGTAATTGTTTCTCTAATTTACAGTTAGAATATATTCTAAATATGTTCAAAAGCTACAATAAAAACAGTGTGGCACACATACAAGTAAACACAGATCAAAGAAATGTGACTTTTTTTAAGGGACTGGAGGAAGACATACCTGTCAGTACTCAGGGACTAATCCTGGTTCAGTGCTCAAGGATCACTCCTGGTGATTCTTGGATCATGTGATGCCGGGGATCGAACCCAGGCCTCCTGTGTGATGTACTTTCAGGCTGTTCAGCTCTCTCTTTGGTTTCTAAGAAACATTATATAAAAAATTTCAGACTATTAATATATCCAACTATTAGTAAGATAGAATATTTAGTTATGTTGGCATGTCAAATCAACAAGGAAAAGAAAACAGTCCAATAAACAATAAACTGGGGTAGTTATTAACTATTGGAAAAGAAGATAACAGACAACATGACTTCTCATTAGATAAAAATTTAAACGAAGAAAAAATATACAGAAACTAGAATAAGGTAATTCTGTGTAATCTTAGGACTCTGAAGGGACTATATCCACCACTTAAGTCAGAACCCATAAGGGATGATAACAAGTATCCATGGTATCCAATATCTGAAAGTATGTTCTAGGGAACCCCAGTCCTAGGAGACACCCTAGAAGGTGTTTTATTGTTACAGTTACTGTAACAATATCAATATGATATCAATCTGATCATTTGATAAGGGGAAACCAGAATCAAATGTGATCCTTTATTATGTGATCTCAGCATTAAAAAATGTTAGTGTATAAAAATATAATGTTCTCAGCATTAAAAGATGTTAGCATAAGCCATGATTATCTAAAAAATATTAGGAAAATTCAAAAGTATAAAACATTTTCTAGGGGCAGGACAGGGTGTAAGAGAGGTAGAAAGAATTTAGAAAATATTTAGGTAAATATGAAACAAGAGCTTCACAGAAAGGCAATGTGGCTTGGTGCCAGGGTGCATGCCTTGCATGTATGAGACCCTGGGTTTGATCTCTCTAACACTATACAAACAGACGAAAATCATAGAAATTGTAAACGCCAAGTTCAAGGATGTAATACAGAAGGAATTGGTAAAAATTATATGTAGAATATTTTAATACAAAGTTGTGCAAATTGGCAAGTCAGAGAAGACTTATAAAAATTCTGTTTCATACTAGTTTAATGAATTAGAAATTAAAATATGCTCATACTTTTTACTTAATAAATTGTTCCCAAAATGAAGATACAAGCATGTTCTCCCTAAACCCACACTTACAGAGCTCTGAAAAAGTTCCCAAAAGACTAAATTGGAACAAATAGAGCAACAAAATTAATACATGAGCTTTAGTTTCTTTTCTGTGTGTATGCGTGTGATGCTGGGGATCAAACCCAAGACCTCAGACATGCAAGGCAAATGTTCTACACTGAAACACATCCCAGGCTGCTCATTTTGTTACTTAATCCAAAGTAAAAAAATATAAAAATGGGTTCACATAGATATAAATGCTCAATAAGTTAAAACTTGAAGAGATGCAATAATTTTCCCATGAAGAATTTCAAACAAAAAGAAAATTTCAAACACCAAACAATTGATACAGATAACTTCTTCAAGGAGGTGGAGCTTACCTGGACATTCCTAAAGTGTGGGCTCCTCGCGTTGTGGCTTTTGTCTGAAAGTACAGCTAGCAGTAGGGAGAGGCTCTGTAATGAATACTCTTGACTAAAACTGTCTGAAGACCACATGAAAGTCAGTAATTATGCTAATTGTATAAACACTTGCTATAATGTCAGAAAACTAATATTATACCTGCCCTAAACCAGTTATCCCAGTCTAAATATAGGAAAAACCTCAGAAAAATGCCAGAGAGCTAGCTAGCTATACTATCAAACATTTGACAGGGATCCCTCAAATCTGTCAATCAAGATAATCAAAAACAAAGGAAGTAGGGCAGAAAGATGGTACAGTTTACGGAAATTGCCTTGCAGGTGGTTGACCCTGTTTGATACCTGATCCCCTGAGAGCCACCAGGAGTGAACTCTGAGCTCAGAACAAGTAGCAGCTCCCAAAACCAAAAATCAAGGGAAGTCTAAGAAATGATCACAGCCAAAAAAATGAGTAAATTGACATGAAAAATGTGGCATCCAGGAACAGAAAAAAAACTTAAGGTAAAACCAAAGAGAAATCCTTGGTAATTATGTTTAAATGATATATATGACAAATATATAAATCACATAAAAATCAAATATAAATTATAATATATCAATGTATCAAATGAGCATTTTGCATACCTCAAATTTATGATGTTTTATGTCAGATTTCAATTGAAAATTAAGATAAGTTGATGGATTTAATAAATGTATAGGGCGTTTGCCTTGCATGCAGCCAGCTCGGCAGAGTCAGGTTCGATTTCTCCACCCCTCTCGGAGAGCCCGGCCAGCTATTGAGAGTATCTCGCCCATGCGGCAAAACCTGGAAAGCTACCCGTGACGTATTCAATATGTCAAACACAGTAACAAGTCTCATGATGGAGACGTTACTGGGCCTGCTCGAGCAAATCGATGAACAATGGGAGGACTGTGATCGACTGTAATACTATACATGAATACATATTATTATAAACCTTCCCTTGATTTTTCTATATGTCTCTGAACTTAAGCTTTTATTATGAATGCAAAATATTCCTTTGCATTGATTTACCAACAAGAGTTAAATTGGTTCTCTAGTTTTAAAAAAAAATTATACATTTCAGCTATTTTAAGAACTTCCTTTTTTTCATTACAACTAACAGTAGTAGATATCTTTCATGCATTTGGAAATCTAAAAATATTTGTTAAACCATTTTATTGGGAAAAATTCCTGGAAATGTTAATTTTATAATATTTACATTTTTTTCTATATTTCATGTTGCATTCCCCTTCCCAATTTACCATGCAAGCCCTAATAGACACTGCAAAAAAATCGCTAAAAAGTCCACACAGTTTGGATGATCCTATATCAACACTGGTTCATTAATAATAACATGTATGGCACACTATAACATGCTTAAATAGAAGAAACTGGATATGGTGTACCTGGGAACTCTCTGTACTATCGTTTCAATTTTTCTGCAAATTTAAAATTTTTCTAAAAATGAAATATTAAAAATAGAACCAAAAAGAGCAAGCAACCCTGCACATTTTGGTCAAGGATGTGCTGAATGACTGCTCTCATGACCTGTTGGTGGTGTGAGCACTTTATGTACAATTTGAAAATATGGATTCAAAGCAATGGAACTTGAAGCTGGAGGGCAAAGGCAGAGCATATGCTGTAAGTTCTATCTCACATACAGCATGTTCCCCTGCCTTGGCTCAGCACCAACAATGTAGCCCTTGTGGTCCCTAATACACAATGGAGTATGATCCAAACACTGCTGGATAGGAGGACTCCAAACCTTAAAAAATAAGAACTTGTACATTGCATACTCTTTGATTTAGTAATACCATCTCTACCCTAATAAAATCATAAAATCTATTAATTAACTATTAACTAAAAAGATTTTTCAGCTGCTGCAATCCTCACTGAATTATTTTTTCAGAGTTAGGAATCACACCCAGCACTTCATATTCACAAGGTGTGATCTGCTGATGAGCCATGTCCCCAGCTTCATATCACTGTATTTTCATGTTAGTCAAAAATTAGAAGCAATTTAAAAGCCCCTGGAGTTGACTAATTACATATTATTGTCATTGTAAGTAGCACATGGTGTAGGGATGAATAAAAGTAAAAATTATAAAAAGGAAAAGCAGGTTGTTAGTAATGTGATATGAATGCTGTTGCATTAAAAATGACATTTTATTCATCAAAACAGTATTTTAAAACTTGTAGTGAAGTCTGTCATTTGCCATTCATCATTAAACGAAGTGACAAATTAGAGGAAAGCAGTGAAATAATTGGTGTACACGGCCATATCATAGAGTATCCAGAAAACCATCATGGAAATTTGATTTTCATTCATAGTGAAATGCGGAAATAATGATGTATTTTGATTGAGAATAGACTCACTTTGGCTTTCTCTTTGAAAGGATATCCTGGGTTACTTGGTTGAGAATAATAAGGGTGCAAGTGTCCAAGCAGATAAGCCATCAGGAGGTCATTGCAATAATCTTGGTGGAAAGTAAGGATTTTCAAAGAAGTGCACAATAGAAGGGACATACACAGAAAATCAAAATCAAAATCAGGACTTTGGTGCATGTATGTATGGGTCTTTATTTTCCTGGCCAAGTATCTCTGGGAGAAGGACCAACACCTCCTGGCTTCTCGTCAGGCAAACAAGCGGCTGCTGTGTGCCCATCAGAATGCCAGGACTTGGCCCAGGGTGTTGGGGACTGGGATTGCAGAAGGAAAGCACCGTGAGGCTTTTCCTCTGCCACCTCAAGACTGGGTATGGTTCAGGGGAGCTGAGTGAAGCCAGGAATGTCCCCCACAAAGCTGACCTCCCCTCACAGATGTGCCCCTAAGACCTTTCATCTTTAACTGAGGGCTAGGAGAGAGCTGGTGTGTTGCCCATCGGGGAGGAGGGCCTGCAATTAAGCAAAGTCAGTGGCATGGATGCTCTCTCACTCGCCACTATGGTAGGCTCTGTGGCAACCTGACTTGACCTGGTACAGTGGGAAACCAAGAGGGGCCCAGCCTACACATGCCTGTAAGTCCTGGGAACAACTCCAGGGGGCCCAGAGCCTCTCCAGGGGCAGGGGCCCCTCTGTTCTGAGGCATCTGTTGAAAGGTGCCCAAACCTTGGGCCTGCTGCCATGTGGAGAGGCTGTGGGACTGCCCAGCTTGGAGGAACTGATGTGGTTGAGCATCCCTGTTCCTCTGCCCTCTGCCAGGAGCCGTAGCAGGGCTGGGCAGTGCAGCCAGGCCTGGCTGGACAGATGCTGGAGGGGGCTGGGATGCAATTTTTATAATACTTTTGGGTTTTTTTTTTTTGGAGGGTCATACCTGGTGGTGCTTGGGGCCTACTCCCACCCCTCTCCTTGATGTGGCGTCACTCCTGGCTATACTAAGAAGACCATGTGGTGCCTGAGATCAAATTTAGGCCTCCTGTGTAAAAAGCATGTGCTCCAGCCCTTTGAGCGATATCCCTGGCTCAATTTTTCTGTGATGAACATGTGTTACTTCAGTGAAGAGAGAAAGTTTGGTAGGCATACCAAATATTTTGCTCTTACATACAAAACTTTATTTTGAAAAAAGTGCAGGAACTAGAGAGATAGCACGGTAGGTAGGGTGCTTGCCTTGCACATAGCCGACACTGGTTGGCTTCCCGGCATCCAATATAGTCCCCTGAGCCCAGCAGGAGTCATTCCTGAGTGCAGAGCCAGGAATAACCCCTGAGCACTGCCTCGGGTGTCCTCCACCCCCGCACAAAAGAAAAAAAAGTATGGGTTCATTTCTTGGAATAAACTTTGAAGAAAAACTACTTCCCCCCCTCCCATTGATTTTCTTTTGTCTAGTTTTGTTTTGGGCCACCCAAGCAGTGTTGATGTGGCTGGGTGGCAGGGGCACTTCCCTCCCAGGAATTCTTGGCTACTGAGCTGGTGGCTCAATGTTAGGGCTTGAACATGTGGTACTAATTAGACCCTGTGTTGCTAGGTATCCCTCTGGTGGTATGTAAGGGCTACAGCTGGTGACTCTGGAGGGACCATGTGGTATATGGGATTGAACTTGGGTTAGCTGCATGCAAGGCATGCAACAAAGCTTCAATCCCTGTACTGTATCTCCAACCCCATATTGAACTATCTTTAGTATAAATTGCTACTATAAAACATCTCAGTAAGTGTTCCACTAATTCTCCTAGGATCAATGGACAATTAGTGGCTTTAAAAGTCATCAGCATGAATGCAGAGGAAGGAGTCCCATTTACGGCTATCCGGGAAGGTAAGTATAATAAAAATAGACTCAAGAGATCTGTTTTAAGTTCTTGATTTGGTAAAATACCTAAGTGCATTGACTATATTCAATATCAAGGTATTGTTATTTCTAAAAGAATAAAATTGCACTTTTATATTTCATACCAGATTATCAAGAGTACTTACACCATCCTCTTATTATTTATTCTTGAGGTAATTGAGATTCAAAATGATTTTTATTAATTAATCAAGACTATGAGCTCAATATTTTCTGTATGCATTGCATTTGGTCCCTTGCTAAGTTTTCTATATAGCCTCAAAAAAATCATCATAAAAGAGAAATAAAAACACACAATCATGAAAATTTTCAAGTAGGCAAATAGCTGAAAATAATTAATTGTACAGATAAAACATTAAAATAAAAAAAAACCTCTTTGTGGGGCTGGAGAGATGAGCATGTGGGTAAGGTTCTTGCTTTGCATGAGGAATAACAAAATTACTGACACACCCTGAGCCCTGCTCCCCAAAGAAACCTCTTAGTGTTGTGTCTACTTCTCAGTTCCCTGCATTTGTAGTAAGCACATGAGAAAAATAATGTCAGATGAACTTGAATCTTAGTTCTACCAATCATTAGTGTTACAACAATAACTTGACCACTATAAAATTTAGTTTCTTGCAGAAAGAGAATGCAGTGACCATTTGATTGAGTTGTAAGGATAGATAAATGAGACTGTGCATATAAAGTACTTACACAGAGCCAATTTTCAGAATTCAACAACTGTTGGCAATTATTGTTTCATTCTTGTTCTCTTCCCATGGTGATGATGGTTTGTTTACTACCAGACTGACTAAAAATTTATGCTATAAAGTTCAAGAAACCAATAAAGTAAAAAATAAATCATTAAAAGAAATTAACTTATTTTTACATGGACCACCTGAAATAAAATGTTAAGGTTGTTACCCATTTCAGCAAAAATGAAGACTTTCCTCTGCCCTTTTTCTACTTCCTCTTAATTGTATTTTCCATTTTTTTTTATGGAAGACATAATATATACAAACATGTTGCTGGGTGTTATAAAAGATGAGAAAGAAAAAAATGTCTGATCTTTATGTCATCATCATCAATCTTAATAGAACAGATGATTCAAGTTACAACAAATGTTATAATGAGGTTAAAAAAAGTGCATTTCCAATTTCCCAATTAAGATGAAAACCAATTAGCCTCAGTGTGTCTAATGGAATCACTAGATTTTGACCTGATCTTGGAAGGATGGACTATGCAAACAGGCATGCAGAAAAAAAAATAGAAAATGAGCTTATAACTGAATCCAGTGCCATTTTCAAGAGTCCTTCAAAGCCCCTGGGAAATATGTTGTTTTTCATTTAATAGAAGGGACAAATGGCTCTCAGGCGAGCCAGGAACATAGCATGTAGGATCAGGTGCAATCTGGTCGTGTTTAACCTAATGGAAACTGCATTTCCTAATGCATTTCTTAGTGGCCCCCATGACAGGATGATCAGATTTAGAAAGATATGTGACTCAGAATTTTCTGGATAGAATAGAAAACCCAGGGCCAAGTGCATCAGTTCTCTGGGCCAGGTTTCTCTCAGCCTCAGGAGACCTTGCTCTGTGTGCTCTCAAGCTCGCCCCTTGCCTGTAAGATCCTCTTCTAGCTCCAACTCAAACTTTTTCGGTTGACTTGAGAACTGGGAAACCTCTTGTGGATTTTGCTAACAGATGGTTCTCAGCATGGCTCAGAAAGGCTGCCTCTGTGTTTGCTCTGTATGGGAGATGTTTCTTTTATTGCACATTCGCCGCTGAGTCGGCTCTGCATCACAGGTGTTTGCAATTACATGTGGTCTTCAACTGTGGACTTTCTGGGTTTGTTTTATGGACTTACCTTTCTGAACACTTTGCTTGTATAATATAAAAAAGAAACCACAAAAGGATTTTTGACACATTGGAGGTCTTTAGGCATCCAGTTTCCAACAATGGATGTTTCTTTTCCACCAGCATAAAGGCTGGAGTCCTTATGAAGGGGAGCCTCTGCCCCTCGAGAAGGTATCAGGCCTCATTTGAAAACTTTGGCTCTATCCCATTTCTCCTGTAAGAACTTTAAGGATGTGAGACCAGGGAAACAGGAGGTTAAATGAGAAGGGCTGGGAGGCAAAACAAGAACAGCTGGAGTTCATTAGTTAAAATCCAGGGTCATGAGCTAGAGAGGCAACTGAGAGACACGTGCAGAGATGCTGGGAGAGTATCACAAAGCTCTTTAAAGGGCTTGAAGGAAGTGTGGCTCTTCCTGAGCAGTCTGGCTGCTCTGCCAGTCTATAGAGTCTCTCTTTCCATCAGGAAAAGACAAGCGACCACTAATTAATCTGATCATTTGGAAAACTCTTTGATCTTAACATGAAATATGAAGAAATTAGCATAAACATGAACAGCAATAAGGAAGACATATCTGAATATATATGTGTATCACCTGATCACTTGACATCCCATTACTCATCGATTTGCTTGAGAGGGCACCAGTAACGTCTCCATTCGTCCCTGTCACATGCTAGCATACCCCAATGGCGTCTGCTCACTCCAGGAACATGAAGAGCCTCAAACTGATCGTTCAGGGTCTTGACGAAGATGTCTGACCATCTCGTAGGTGGGTGGCCACGTCATCTTTTGACACCCCCCGTGGAATCCAGTCGGTTCTAGTCCAGCGGTTGTCTCCAAATTGCATTAGGTGTCCAGCCCATCTGAACTTCGACACCTTGGCAAACGAGACAGCATCCCTGATTCTTGATCATCAACAGAGGTTGGAACTCCGGATTCTTTCTCTCTCACTTGAGTGAAGCGTGATACTCCAAGCATAGCTCTTTCAGTTCCTCTTTGGGAGACCAGAATAGTGTTCTCATCCTGATTTCGTAGGGCCCAGGACTCTGAGGAGTATGTAATGCAGGAAGAACAGTGGAATCGAAGAGATGGTGCCCGGAGCAGGAGGTTCTTCGTCCTCTTAGCTATTTCTTTGATGCTCTTGAAGGCTTTCCAAGCTGCTCTCTTCCTCCTGCGCAACTCAGGTGCCAGGTCATTTGTCATGTTGATGTCTCAACCTAGGTACAGGTAACTGTTGCATTTGGGGATGTTCGTTCTGTTAAGAGTGAATGGAACATCAGGAACGAGATAGTTCCTCTTAAACATTGTCTTCGTGAGGTTCAGCTGTAGTCTGAACTTTCCACACTCATGGTCGAAGTCGGCCAGCATCTATGCCACTTGGCTAATGTTTGGTGTTATTAGAATGATGTCATCAGTGAAGCGGAGATGGTGTAGTTGCCCACCGTTTATCTTCACTCCCATTCCTTCCCATTCTAGTCATCGCATGACATTCTTGAGGGTGGCACTGAAGAGTTTCAGTGTATGAAACTCTTGAGTATGCATATATGTGTGTGTATACTCTATATATCTTGCCAGATACTTTTTATACACTCCTTTCAATCTTCTTAATAACATTTTTATCATTATTATATATATGATGTTATTATTCCTATATGAAATTGCTGTTCAAATCCAATCTCTGCAATTCAAAAACTGCAGGCAATCTCGGTGTATTCCATCTGTTTATTGAAAGCTTCTATGTTGTGGCTCTTAACTGAGTGCTGGACACACAGTGCCCACAATATACAGGTCTTTGCAGAGAGAGGACCTTGGACCCAGGTCCACTGGGTCCATGCTATGGGGTGGTAAAAGAATTTATGAGGAGTGTGAGATGGTGGAGGTGAGAGCAAAGTCAGTTTTTTTTTTCTTTTTGGGTCACACCCAGTGATGCACAGGGGTTACTCCTGGCTCTGCGCTCAGGAATTACCCCTGGCGGTGCTCAGGGGACCATATGGGATGCTGGGAATCGAACCTGGGTCGGCCGCGTGCAAGGCAAACGCCCTACCCGCTGTGCTATTGCTCCAGCCCCGCAAAGTCAGTTTTTAAAAGATGGTCAGATGGGCACAGAGGCCGAGAGAGAGAGAGAGAGAGAGGAGAGAGAGAGAGAGAGAGAGAGAGAGACAGAAAGAGAAAAAGAGAGAGACCCACTTAGCACAGTTTTGGGGAGTTTTACTGTGTGTCTCTAGGGTGCTTAGATTTTTATAGATTAGTTCATTCTGGGAGTTGGGTGTACAGAAGACACTGTAGTCAATTCTGGGAAGGGATTGAATTGTATATAAAATGATTTGAGCCAATCGTAAGAAGGAAGTGAGATGTACATAAATTAGGCTATCCTGGAAGTGATTTGACCAATTCTTGGAACTGAGCTACAGTGGGGTCCCTTGGACAGAATTATATAATTGTGACTTTTTCATCTTTAGTGCTTGAGGTACTGTGATTAACAATAATGATGGCTTCCCATAATTCAAACACCAAACTCCTCACCAGAGTACCCACCTCCCTCCACCAAGCTCCCCAAGACCTCACTCCTTCATCTACTTCCCATATCTCCTCCAAAACTCAGTTGTGTGTATCAGTTTTCCAACTGTGATCTGTGATGTCTTTGCCCTTTTTTTGCTACCTTGATATCTTAAGTCCCTCAGATGAAAAAGATCATTCTGTACTTTTCTCTCTTCTCAATCTCTTCACTTGTGCCAATTGTTTTAGCTGGGACAGCACAGCTGAAGATGCAAAGAGAGCCTCAGCCTGGCAGGCATTTTAGATATGAAATTAAGCTTGGCATCTTTTTAGGGGCTTTATGCTAGACTTTCATTCTCTGCTCTTATTTTTTTGCTAATTGAAAGTTAGTTCGCTTCATAGCAGCTTAGAAAATTTTTTACAACTGGCTGAGAATTTTATCTTAAATATTAATTTTTATAGTGAGGAGAAGACACTTTTATTTAATAGACTAATATTTTAAGTTTTAATATAAGAGAGCATGTTACATATAATAAATACTTTATATAAAGATTCATGGTCTTATATCTAAACTAACAGTATTAGTAAATCATGTACCAGCTTTTTGATATGCACATTCTAATAAATAGATTCTATAAAAATGG